TTACTGGGCCGCATCCGGCCCCCGGGCCTTAGGTTGCCTACCCCTGATCCACAATATGGAGCCATTGCAGTGAAATGGTATCAAAGTCTTCTAACTGTAAAGTGTAGATACACTCCTGGCCTACATCTGCACTGCAGAAATAATGTAGTTTGACACTACTTTAACTGTTATGGGTCAATGCTATGGAATCCTGGGAGTTGTAGTTTTGTGAGATATTTAGCTTTCTCTGTCTGAGAGCTCTGGTGTCGCCTTCTTGTTGTTTGCCTTCAAGTCATTTCCAACTTATGGCGACCCTAAGATGACCCTATCATGGGGTTTTCTTGGCAAAGTTTGGTTCAGAGGGGGTTTGCCATTGGCATTATCTGAGGCTGAGAGAGTGTGACTTGCTCAAGGTCACCCAGTGGGCTTCCATGGCAGAGGGATTCGAACCCTGGTCTCCAGAGTCATAGTCCAACATTCGAACCATTACACCGCAGCCACCAAATGAGAAATCCCGGGATTCCATAGCATTGAGCCATGGAAGTTAAAGCAGTGTCAAAATGCATTATTTCTGCAGTGCAGATGAGTCCCTGCCTGCTGCCCCAGTGCCTCAGACTGAGAAAGGATTCTAGCACTTACTGGAGTGTTTGGGATGAGTCAGTATTAGGGATGGGGGAGAAAAGAGGTGGCAATAGATAAGAAAGTGGCTTCTGGATGGTTCTACCTCAAGGGCTAAATGTCTTGGGCCTCTCTTGATGGTACAGTCTGCTATTCCAGCATAAAGGGTTTAGTGTGGGACCTCATAAGTATGCCAAAGCAATATGAAATAAAGGAAATTATGCTGTTTTAGACAGCCATGTTAAGCAAACTTAACAGCACAAAATGTCTAGCTAAGCATATATACTTATCATACCCCTTAGTTCAGTAATCTGATTTGTTGTTAACTATGAATTTCTCAGATTTGGGGATTTGATGACTTCTGTAGGATCCACTAGTTGAGGATATATTTTGCAATATACAGTATTTTGCAAATAAAAGAATATTGCAAAGCCATATTACTCCTTCATGTGAAACAGGCTGATCTAGATACCACAAATGAAAATAAAGAATTAAAACACCACACAATACAACAGGACAGGTAAGGAAGCAGCTGCTGGACTGCTCTACCTCAAGATGCTTGCAGCTTCATAGTTTCTCTTGACAGAGCTTTGCAAGGTGACGTTTATGATATATTTATTTATTTGAAAAATAATGTTTTACCTTTTACCCTTTCTGGCATAGAATGAATGATGCCATGTGAGCTTCTGAAGACTAGAGAAGATTCAGAGCTGTTTTTATTTTTATTTTTAAATGACTGAAAATGTAATCATATATCATATATCTGGAATGGGCTCCTTTTCCTTCTTTACGATTTTCAGTTTCAAAGAACACCAATAAAAGAGTGAATAAATTTTGCAGTTGTCAATTCCACTTAAAGAAATGTTGGTCTACTATAAAATATTTCAGACTTTGTTTCAAGAGTGTTTTTATATGTGCTCATCTATTAAACCAAAATACTTATTAAATTGATCTTGCACATACCATCAACTACAAAGAAAACAACAACACAAGAACAGCAAATGCTATCTCTCACATACACTGCATCAGATCTATCCTGGATTCAGATATCTCCTTATTCTGCCATTAAACAAATGTCTCACTCTTGAAGTGGGGAAGGTGTGATCCTCCAGATATTATTGAACCGCAGTTACCATCAGCCCAAGAAGCATAACCAGTTGTAAGGGATTATGGACATTTAGCCCAATTCTCCAGTCCAACAATATCTGAAGGGCAACACATTTTTCATTCCTGATTTAGAGGATAACATGCTCACCTTGATCAGAAATTACACTTTTTCAAGGTGCTGCCCCTTGTCTGTGGACTTTGAGGCCTTTCTATCAAATTAGCTGCTTGTAACCACTAGTGTGGTGTAGTGGTTTGAGAGTTGGATTATAACTAGAGACAAGGGTTCAGCTCCCCACTCAGCCATGGAAACCCACTGGGTGACTTTGGGCAAGTCACACTCTCTTAGCCTCAGAGGAAGACAAATGCAAAACCCCTCTCAACAGATCTTGCCAAGAAAATCCCATTATAGGGTCACCCCAAGAAAGATAGATGTTTCGCCTCCAACTACCTCTAATTTAAGCTAATTTCTTATTTCTTCCACTTTTAATTAGTATTTTATATTGCTATTCATTTTATATTGTTATTGTTTTTAGTTTGATTTTTTATGATTGGGAGGGGGTTGGGTTAGGGGATTATTTAGAAATATCATTTTTAGTTGTATATTGTATTTTATTGTTATTCTTATTTGTTGTAGCCCATCTTGATCCACAAGGAGAGGTAGGCTATAAATAAAATGTATTATTATTATTATTATTATTATTATTGCCATAATTCAGCAATTCTGTAAAGGCACACAACCACAGCTCTGGCAATTCCTCACCTATGAAAACTTTAGCCCAAAACGTCATGTCTCCAAGCTCTCCTGTACTTATAATTATATTGTAAAAGCTTTCTACCCTGGGTTCATTCCCCCACTATGTAGTGAATTATCAAATATGGAAAAGGAGGAAGAAAAATCCTTCCTTTCTCTGCCATGGACTTCCCCCTAGTTCTTCACAGATTTCCTCTTGAATAGAAATAACTCTGAAACAAGCACTATTGCCAGTCTCTAATTATGCAAGGATTTAAATTACACTTTAAAAGAGACAAGTAGCTATCTATATGTTCCTTCTGCTTCTCAGCTCACTCATCTGGATGGTTTCCACAGCTGTGCTGTTGCTGTGAAAAAAAAGTTCTTGGACTTAAATCTCTTGCTCATATAAACAACAGTAAGACAGACAGTTCAGTCTACAATTTTACATATGCACCTTGCACACAAACTCTGCTTCCTATTTTGTCCTTAACTGACACCAAGACACCTGAAAATGGGCAGATGAGAAAAGCCCCTTCTTCTTGGTGGTTAGTTTATTATTTATGTCTAAATATATAAAAGCAAGCATTAAAGTTTTTGATCAGGGCTAGGGAATTAATGGCCCTCCTGATGTTATTGGAGGGCAACTTGCACTAATTCTAGCCAGCAAGGCTAACCATAATGGATTCAAAGACATAGCTGTGTTTGTCTGGAAAAATCAGTATACAAAGGGATCTTTAATAATAATAATTATTATTATTATTATTTATATCCCGCCCCTCTGCGAACAATCGGGGCGGCTTACAACAGTAAAATAGTACATAGTATAAAACAACTCAAAATTCCTTCCCCCCCTTAAAACATTATTAAATCAATACAAATTAAAATCAACATATAATACAATTGTTATTAAAAACAATCTTTCACCACCTTTGAGACTAACTGAAAGAAAGAAGTGGGTAGCATGAGTTTTTGCAGACTCGAACTTACTTCCTCAGATGCATGTGGTAGAATAGAAAGCCCAGGGACAGACTTATATGGTAGTTTGTGTGCAAGAGTGTCCATAGGAATGCAAAACTTTGTGGCTGTGGAGATGAGGTGACAATTCCAGTTTTAATGACAGCAAGGAAGTTGCCTAAAGCCAAGGACCCCTTCTAGAAGCTCACTGGGTCTCCTCTGGGCCCGTAACCAAAAATGTGGGGTGCAATTTGAGTTTCCCAGGGTGTTAAACCTTTTAAAGTTAACCTAAAATATGCAGGAATGAAAGTTAAACTTGTTAGAGTTCAGCTTTCATCAGCAGCACAACAAAAGTGTGGGTCAGACTATACCTGCCTTCCTAAAAAGAAAGACTGAGAAATAATCCAGCTTGAGACCATTTAACTGCCCTGGCTCAGTGCTAAGGAATCATGGGAACTGTGGTTTATTGTGGCACCAGAGCTCTCTGACAGAGAAGGCCACTGTGTCAGAAAAAAACTACAATTCCCATGATCCCCTAGCACTGAGCCAGAACAGTTAAAGTGGCCTCAAGCTGCATTATTTCTGGCAGTCTGTAAAGGCCCTAACTCAAAGAATGACAGACATGTAGTTTGTGGTTTCAAATAAACAATAATAACTTTAATAAATATGTACACAACAAACTAAAACCTAAATCTAACTGGAGTTTATATACAGCAGGAAGAGAAATGTTAACTTCCCTCAGAATTTTATCACATGGATAAATCCTGTGCAGAAACAGGATTTAAAAGCTGGGGAAACCTGCAAAAGCGGATTGATTTTCACACACATCGCTGTTAAACTGTTGTTAACCTGA